ATTTATGAGAATTAATGCTTTATAAGATAACAACATAGGACTATTATATAACGATTATGTCATAATTAATTATAATGTTGCTTTAGTTTTCTTTGGGTGTTACTTTATAATATTAAAAACAATTTAATTAAACTGTCGATATTATTAAAATTGTAAATTTGTGTTATTTTATGAGAATCAATGCTTTATAAGATGATAATATAGCACTATTATATAACGATTATGTCTTTATCTTAACTGTGTAAAATATTTCGTATCATCATTACCAGACTCGTCGGTTGTGTGTGGATGGACACCCAGATCTCCGTGAATTAACATCACATCCATACTTCCTCATGTTGACTGTCATAACCATTGTATTGGTAAGAGTATTTAATATTTATTTATGTATATATTCGTATAATATTTCTATAGAACTATTAACACAAAAGACCCATTTTCATAAATTTTAACATGACATTCTCCGTATAGACCAGATGTTGTGTATCTCCATGATTTACAATGTTCAGGTGATACCCGAAATGCTGCGGAAAATATAATGTTACGTTTTGCTGCAGGCGAACGATTACAGGCTCCGTGAAGCCTCTGGTTTAACTAATATATTTCATATTTAGCGAAAATGAGAAAGCGACAAACTTTTGCATCAGTTAAATAAAACATAGCCGTTGTGAATTAAAGTGTCTTGGGCCTATTAAAATTAGAACATTATGATGTCTTTAATATTTTTAATTTTAAAATATATAAAATAAGGGATAAAGTAATGGGTCGCCGTTCATCTAAACTCAAAATCGGCCTTTCAAAAATAGCATAACTTTGCTTTTCAATGCGTGACATTCTGCGCAGTGAACGTCACACTATCTTAAATTGTCCCGAAACCCCTTAAATTACAATGTAACAAGTGTATACGTACAGTCATATGTTAAAATATGCAAGGGTGCCTTTCAAACGATAAACAATGTTTACTGTCAAATGTGCGTTTTTTGTTTATATTTTTTCGCATGCTGTATTTTTTAATGTGAAGTGTTCACTTATTTTACTGAAAAAGAGTATGCATGTTGAATTATGTACTTAAGTTTGGTCCAGTGTTATCATTTTCAAGCTTCGAGTCAATATTTAAGAAGAAAAAAAACATACATGTATCAAATATTTATAGCGGTCATATTTAAACTTTTTCTGTTATTTCTATTGTAGAAAAATGTCTAGTAATTTTCATTGGGTTATTGAAAGGCAATATGGTGGAAACCCAAATGAATCTTACCGTTTGATGCAAATTCTGAAATCTTTTGCGATAACAGAGCTTACAAACATTCATATCCATGATCTTCCTGAACACATTTTATGTTTTCATTGGCCTTCTTAGGGACGAGAAATGTTATTTTATCGTCAATGTCTTCATGCCAGTTTTTCTGCAGACTTTGACTGAGGTGAAAAGTAGAATATTTCTAGATCTCGCTCAAAGGGTAGTTTTGCAAACAGAGGAAGTGCTTGATTTTGATATGCACATACCAGAAACATATTTTTTCTAAGGACACTGATAGGCATGCTGTCGTCTGTTCTATGGTCGGATTGTTGTCTCTTTGACACATTCCCCATTTCCATTCTCAATTTTATGACATTGCCACCAGATTCAGATCATGATGATGACAGCAATTAAGCTAGTTTTTCACCAATTGATTAATATTTTGTGTCATTATCTAATCTTCTTTATTATGTTCTCAAAATAATAGACATAGTGTTATAAACAAAGAGTATGAAATAAAAAAAAAACCTTTATTTTCATGGGTACCAATGAGTTTCCCGAAAGTTCAATGTTAAACATTCCCATGTTTCCATGGCAACTGAAGTAATTTCGAATGTTTCTTATACCAATTCCACGGAAACTGCGGCCATTTTTGAATTTCTATATATACAAACTAAGGTTCAACTTCTTACAATCCTATATAATTCAAACCCGCCCATATTGACATAATTAAAACTGACCTAACGAATACGCATACTCATCTTGGTCGTGCATAGGAAAATGCCATGCTTTATAAGAACATGCGTTTTATTGTTGCATTTGTAATGTGTCGCGAGGTATACTTGTTCCTAAAGTTGTATTTTGTGTAATTCGTTTATTTTTTTGATAGAGTTAATTAAGGCATTTTCCATTGATATTTTATAGTGCGTCTTTTCTTGTTGTAATGTTATACTGCTGTATCAGGTTAAAGGTAAAGGGTGAAATATAAATAAGATGTGGTATGAGTGCCAATGAGACAACTCTCCATCCAAATTATTTTTTTACTTCAAGAAATTCGAAATCCACCTTTTTTCAGAAAAATCCAGGCAAAATCAATGCAGGTTGTCTAGAATTTTACAAAATAAATTTACAAATTCCCTCATATACAATGTATACGTCTTTATATACAAAGAACTGACAAAACTGAAAAAAATCACAATAATATTAGCGTAGGCAAAATAGCCATTGCTATAGAAATATGCTATTTGCCGGTTATAATTAAGATATTTTGATCATAGCCGGCAAAATAGCAAATTTGCTATTTTGTCGGTGCCGGCAAAATAGCCACTGCCATGTATTTAAAGTTAACAACGTCCTCTGTATAACTGAAAAATTATAACACCAAGGTTTTCGATATCACAAACTTGTCAAAACTTTTAAAAAATTGTATCATCTGTATAAGGACATAATCCTTAAAAACAATTCAACGTGCAGACAGCTTATATGCTTAGTTTTTTGTATTTTTACTTAGTTTCGTACGCTGCATTTTCTAACATTTAACTCGGACTTCTCTTGAATTGTATTTTAATTGTACGTATCGTTGTATGTTTATTTATTTTACATTGGCTAGAGGTGAAGGGGGAAAGGTTGAGCGCTCACTAAACATATTTAACCCAGCAGCATTTTGGCGTCTGTTCTATTAGTAAAGTCAGGAACCTCTAGCCTTTGGTAGCAATACACAGTTAGGAGTTTAGTTTTGCAATATGGCCATGGTGGTTTTTTCAAATATGAAAGATTTTGCACAATAAAATCCATTTTAAGATACCGGGTAGCTGATGTAAAAAATAGCCCTCAAAGTGTGTTTGTGTGATCATCAATATGTGTTAAGTATGTTTAATGGGCCATTTTGTGTTTGGCAGTCCGCATATTGGTATCCATTCCGGTCATTGGTCCAGAAATAATAGTAATGTTTTTAAACACAGTAAATTACCACGAACTATTGAACGCAATTTTACGAAAAAATGAGGCGAAAGACATGATTTTTCTTTAACATTTTGATAGCTGTATGTAAATAGGTCCAGAAAAGGTATCACTCAAGGGCATTGAAATTCTAGTTTGGACCAAATTTTTAGGGAAACATATGACAGCTTCACCCCCATTTTAGCACTATTTTATAGCAAAAATCAATAAAAGTTCACCATTTTCAGATTGGGAAAAAGAATCTTTGGAAGATTCTGATTATAGACATATGCACATATATGACCCAAACATTAAGCTTTTACTATTAAAAAGCAAGGAAAAGAGGATGGCTAAAAATTATGAGGGTAAATTATAACTGTTTTTGCTAACTGTGTATTGCTACCTTTGTTGGGTATGTTTTTTAATTTTGGTTCATCTATATGTTTCGGAGTATAGGATGACGTCAATTTTTCTTGATCTAGTGCACATTATGTTTCGGGGCCTGCTCGGGACTGCGTCTGGGTGTGTGATTTCTCACTGTGTTGAAGACCCATTAAATGGTGGCCGTGGGTTGACTTGTATATTTTGGTTGGGTTGTTGTCTCTTTGAAACATTACCCGTTTCCATTCTTTCTTCTATACCAGCTAAACCGACATAGGTATACAGATTTTTTATCTCTGTAATGGTAGTACATGAATTAACCGCGGTCTCCCGGAAAAGCAACCCTTCATTCTAACCTTCAGCGACCGTTTTGTCGAAACAAAATCCTTAATCGTCAAAAAAACCTAGAGGTACTGTTACAAAATAATTACCCCGGCCCTTTTAAAAAATCATTTAAAAAAATATGAGGCGAACAATGGCATTAATGGTGAAGATTCTGAGAAAGTTTCATCATATTATAATCAGTGGTATAGGAGTAGTTGCTGATACAAAATGGGCAACGGAAAGTAAACCCCCTAAATATTGTTAACAAAATAAGAGATGCACAATGGCATTATACGATAAAACATATGAGAAAGTTTAATTAAATTATGATAAGTGGTTAAAAGGAGTTGCAAATACAAAATGGTTACCCCCCCCCCCCCCCCCCACACACACACACACACACCTTATATAAAGGGCAATGGTAAATCCATGTTTTGGAGGGAAAAAACCTTCAAAAATGAGTTTGACCTAAAAAAAACAAGTGCATAATGGCATTTTATGGTTAAAAACCTGAGAGTACGAGAGAGTTTCATTTCATTATGATAAGTGAAACCTCCTTAACCACTGGTTATAGTTGTTACTGTAAACATATTTTATTAAAGAAATCGATATAATATATAGCTACAAGGGTAAAGACATAAATACAAAACATACAAGAGATTCAATAATTGGGATTAGGAAACAAGAGCAGTGATCTTATATAAATCCGTCTCCCTGGTTATAGTTGAACGAAACTTCTCAGAATCTGCGTCATATAATGCCATTGTTCACCTCTTATTTTATTATATGGTACACCGTACACGCCATTGTTTGTGTTTCCAATACAAAAACATGGGACTTTGCAGCTGCAGCGGTATAATTTTTGAGCTCTGATATCTACCTGTAGATATAGTATTAAAATCTAGGCATTTGCTATACATTTCTTGTCTAAAAAGCATATAGTTCTTAGAATACTCACCTGGAGGGTGGTTATTTAAAAAAGTGCTTGTAAAGTGATGTTGGAGGTGACAGACTACAACTATTTAAAATCTTCCCTATAAGACTTTTTCGGCTTATGATTCTTCAATTTTATACCGATTAATATATGTTTTATATAATAGTTCATGTATAACATGCATACCCACATTTTTCTTTTTTACTACAGGTATATTGACAGACATGACGACTTTTTGGAATACAGATTTTCGCTTACCCGCTGTGGACGCATCACGAGATGAACTAATTGCCTATTACCACAATCTGTTATATACTGCCAGAGAAATAAAAGGGTTTTTACTTTTTGTGCATAACATCATAGTTTCTGAAAAAACAATTTACAGAGTTGTACGGAGGCTTAATCTGTGGAGGAGGTCAAATGAGAGCGATTTACAAGATGTCATTCGATGTATAGTAAGACTTAGAAGCGATGGATTTTCTGAAGTAGGATATCCGTCGATGTGGCAGTTATTAAATACAAGATGTGGACTTCATGTCACTCAAGAAACGGTGAGATTTGCCCAAATTGCCATTGATAGGGATGGTGTAAATATAAGAGGAAGAAATCGACTAAGACGAAGACACTATACGATTAAAGGTCCACATTTTTGTTTGCACGTAGATGGATACGACAAACTTAAACCTTTCGGTATCGCAATCCATGGCTGCATTGATGGATTCTCAAGGAAAATATTATGGTTGAATGCCAGCCACACTAACAACCCTCGTTACGTTGCCCAGTATTTTGTAGCATATCTTAAACAATTAAAACGTGTTCCAAGAATGGTTCGTTCTGATGCAGGAAACGAAAACGTTATTATAAGAGACATACAAATAGCATTGCGATCGTCACACGGTGATGAAGTAGCAGGACATAGGAGTTTCAGTGTGGGTAGATCAACAAGCAATCAGAGAATAGAGATGTTGTGGAGTTTTCTGATGAGATATTTCACATCATACTGGAGAAACCTATTTATAGATATAGTGGACAGCGGCCAACTGCATAATGCAGATCCAATTCATTTGGAATGTATTCGCTTTTGTTTCATGCCGATAATTCAACATCATTTGAACACATTTTTGATTAGTTGGAATTCTCACAGAATTCGTCCACAGAGACAAATTGAGATTCAAACTGGCGTACCGGATGTGATGTTTTTTCAACCATTTTTATTTGATACTACGGATTATGCATTCGAAATTCCTTGTGGCCATGATGTGCTAGACGAGATCGAGCGGGTCTATACACAGCCAAGGTTGGAAAGAGGCTGTTCTGCGGACTTCATCGGTTTTGTTGAAGAAATAACAGGCTTAAACGTGGACGATTTTGATGCAGTGGCCTCTCCTGATAAAGCAAAGCAACTTTTTATTGAAATTACAGGACTCATCGACGCGCTAGGTTAATCACAAACGAAATCCTCCAGTTATTAGCCATTTGAAAGAATGCCAAATTGTATTAATATAACATATAAATATTCAATATGGGTGTTATCTTATCAATTATTTTATTGACATGAGAATGCCACGAACCATCCTCCTGGCTTTGTACTTTTGAAATTATACTGTCGTTCATATAAACGGATGGATGATGGTGTTTTACTGATTTCTAAGAATTTGTCATAGCTTTAGTCTTTTTTGATTGAAGTTAACTAACCATTGGATTGACCAATTGTTAATAGTTCCTATGTCAGAATTTAGTTTTCTCGCTGCTGCATATTCATCTTCAACTTCTATGAAAAAGACGTGTCGTCCGCATAAAGTTTTATATTACAGTCTATGTCGAATACAATGTCATTTATATATACTAAAAAAAGTAAGGGGCCTTATATTGATCCTTGAGGGACGCCAGCATTTACACTAAATATATCCGAATATTGACCTGAAATAACAACTTTTTGTTTCCGATTTGAAAAATAGCTCATAAACCACTTTGCCAAAAAAATCTTTTATGTGTAAAAGTCGGTTAATTTTAGAATTTCATAGGGGTCACACACCTTAAACAAATCAGCACCAGTGTTATATGAACGTTATCTACGGTCATACCCAGAGAAAAACTTCGATATGCACGTTATCTAGGGGTTATACACTTCGAACATCTCAGTACCAGTGTTATATGAACGTTATCTACGGGTCATACCTCTCGAATAACTCAGGATCAGTGGTATATGAACGTTATCTAGGGGTCATACACATTGAATAACTCATTAATAGGGTTATATGACCATTACCTAGGGTACTAACTACCTAACATCTCAGTACTGGTGTTATAAGGACGTTTTAAGGGGTCATACACCTCGATCATATCAGTACCTGTGTATATTATATAAGGACGTTTTTATTGGTCATACACCTCGAACATATCAGTACCAGTGTTCCATAAAAGTTTTTTAGGGTCATACACCTCGTCAATCTTAGTACCAGTGTTTTTAACGTTATACATTATCATACCACACTCGATAAAAAACTCATTTCAAGTGTTATATAAACGTTATCTAGGGGTCATACTCCTCGAATAACTCAGTACCAGTGTTATATGAACGTTATCTAGGAGTTATACACTTAGAACATCTCAGTAACAGTGTTTTGGAATGTTCCCTACAGATATATAAAAAAACTTCGAACAACTCATTATCAGTGTTGTATGAACGTTCGCTAGTGGTCAATCACCTTGAACATCTCAGTACCGGTGTTTTATAAGAACGTTTTATATGGGCCATTCCCCTCGAAAAAAACCTCAGTACAAATGTTATGCGAACGTTATATATCTAAACTACTAGGAGTCTGAATCGCTCATTCGATGAATCTCGAGTATTGGATTGTGAAATTGAGGTGACACTTAAACGATTTCCTGTAATCTAACTTAACTCATAGAAGCGTGAATCGCTCACCTGGTTTTCATAGCTATCAATTTGCAGAAATTGACCAAAAAGCAACAAGAGTGGACAAACTTATATGTCTTGTCTGTTCCAATATTCTCATTGGAATTTATGTTGATAATAAAAAAAGAAGTTTTTCTTACAGCATTACATTAAAATAACATGTAAATGATTTTAAAATGTACAAGAGTTCAAGTCGAAATAAACCTTCACACAGACATGCAGGCTTTACAATCATTCCAAACACCAAATTCAGTTAGCCTGTTGCTTAACGTATCTCAGAAACAAACCTCATACAAAAGATTACCTTTGACAAATGAACCATGACATTATGTCAAGGTAAGATGACACATGCCGGACAGATAGGTACACTCTACAATTATCCAATACACCAAACATATAGTTCTACTATCCTATAGTATCTGTAAAACAGACCAATTCAGAAAAATTCAACATTGACCAATGAACCATGAAAGTAAGGTCAAGGTTCGATGAAACATGCCAGACATATATGTACACCTTACATTCATTCCATAAGCCAAATATAGTTCACCTATTCCTTATAGTATCTGAACTAGAGGCTCTCAAGAGCCTGTGTCGCTCACCTCTATCTACTGTGGTTTTGGAAATCATGTGTAATAAGGTTAAAATCATAATAAATAGTATTAGTTACCCTAATAATGATTCAGGCCAAGTTTGGTTTAATTTGGCCCAGTAGTTAAACTAAAAGCAGAAGATTTTTGAAAAAAAAATTACAAAAAATACCCAAAAATTGCAGGAAATGATTTTAAAGGACAATAACTCCAACTAGATGTCAATTGACGATTTTGGTCATGTTGATTTATTTGCAGATCTTACTTTGCTGAACATTACTGCTGTTTACAGTTTATCTCTATCTAAAATAATATTCAAAATAACCAAAAACTGCAAAATTACCTCAAAATTACCAATTCAGGGCAGCAACCCAACAACAGGTTGTCTGATTTGTCTAAAATGTAATGGGCAGATAGATCTAAACCTGATAAACATTTTTAACCCAAGTCAGATTTGCTCTTTATGCTTTAGTTTCAGAGATATAAGCCAAAAACTGTATTTTACCCCTATGTTCTATCTTTAGTCATGTCGGCCATGTTGGTTAGAAGGTGGGGTCATCAGACATATTTTTTAAACTAGATACCCTAATGATGATTGTGGCCAAGTTTGGTAAAATTTGTCTCAGTAGTTTCAGAGAAGATTTTTGTAAAAGATAACGACGACGGACGCAAAAGATAACCATTGCTGGACCATGACAATGAGGCCAAGATCAAATGATTACTGCCAGACAGACATAAACTTTACAAGCATTCCATATACCAAATACAATTGACTGTAAATACTAAATAGTATCTGAGAAAAAGACCAAAACACAAAAACTGAACTTTGACCACTGAAACATGAAAATGAGGTCACGGTCAGATGACAACTCCCAGTTGGAGGTGTACACTTTACAATCATTCCATATAGCAAATATAGAAGGACTAAAATCCGAGATATGGACTTGACCACGAAAACTTAACCTTGTTCACTGATCCATGACATGAGTTCGAGGTAAATTGAACACTTTCTGACAGGCATGAGGATATTGCGAGATACGCACATACATGTACCTAATATAGTTATCCAATTACTTTTAATAAGAGAGAAATTAACATAACAAAAAATCTCATCTTTTCTCAAGTAGTCACTGAACCATGAAAATAAGGACATTGGTCATATGACAGACCGAAGCATGTCTGTACCATTTTTTTGTCTTTGAAGATAGGTCAACGATATTTGTTATGTTGGTGCATCACCATGAGGCGGTGTGTCGCGTTCCACAATGACCTTCTACCTCAAGGTCAAATCAACTTTTTTGTCTTTTAAGATAGGTCAATGACATTTAGTATGTGTGTTCAGAAGGCGATGTGTCACATCTTGAAATGACCTTCGTGTGACCTCAACCTTCTACATCAACGTCAAATAAAAGTAATATATAGAGACGTTATGTTTTAGTCATCTAAAACAGTTTTCCTTAGTTGTAGTAATTTTTTATCACTTCGTGAAAGTTGACGTTTAAGGACCAATAACTCTTACAAGAGTCATCATAGAATCTGACCCAAATAAAGACTGTTGTAGAGCTTTTAATGCTTAACAGTCCCCTCAATTTTCCTTTATATGCCACTTTTTGAGATTTTTGCAAATAACTGCAGTTTGCCCTATATTTAGCTATGGCGGCTATGTTTCTTGACGAAACACAATTATCAACACATAACCCCCTCCCTTGAAGTTAAATGGTCGGTTCCTTAATAAATTGTTACTTGGATGGAGAGTCATCTCATGGGCACTCATATCACATTTTCTTATTTATATAGACAAGAGTGCACACGCTGAAATGACTCGCCTTCTTTACTAACCATTGATATTATGTTGATAGTCCTAAATATAAAGCTTTACTACAACTATCACATCAGTTTAACATGATCCAAGAAAATGAGGTAAAGGTCAGATAAACCAAAACTGGAAATACATGTACACCTTACAATCATTCCATACACCAAATACGCTTTAAATATAGTTGACCTATTGCACATTGAAGAAACAAACTAAACCAGGAAAACTTAACATTGATGAATGAACCATGAAAATGAGGCCAAGGTCAGATGATAATTGCCAGACAGACATATAAACCTTACAATCATTCCATACACCAAATATAGTTGACCTATTGCTTAAAGTATTAGAAAAACAGACCGAAAAACAAACAAAAAAATAACATTGTGCAATGAACCATAAACTGTTAACACAGAGATATGTCTCGCCTATTTGTTATTTTGATAATGCAAATGTTGAAATTAAAGTTGCAATACTTTAACATGTAAGTTATGCAAATATTCAAAGTCAATGAACCATGACTGAAGGTACAGGGCTAAACAATCTCCATGGAAAACAGATATGCCAATGCTTATACAACTGCATACCAAATATCATTGACCTACCACTAGTGGTTCCCCATAAACTGGCCTAATCACAAACTAATACATGTAAACTAAGCAAAGTTTCAAAAGTCAATAGACCATGACTGAGGGGGCGGGGCCAAATAATCTCCATAGTAATGAGATGTGCCAATGCTAATACAACTGCATACCAAATATCATTGACATACCACTAGTGGTTCACTATGAACTAGACCTAATCACAAACTAATGCATTGTTGACGACGCCGCCTGAAACAGCATACCTATCACGTCTCGCTTTTTGACTCCGTCAAGGCGAGACAATAAAAATGAAGTCAAGGTCAAATAAAACATACCAGACTGACATGTACATCGTAAAATATTTTCATACACCAAATATAGTTGACCTATTGCATATAGTATTAAAACAACAGACCAAAACAAAACTTAACTATAACCTATGAACCATGAAAATGAGGTCAAGGTCAGATGACACCTGCCAGATGGACATGTACACCTTACAATCATTCCATACACCAAATATAGTAGACCTATTGCATACGGTATTGAATAAACTG